TCCGCTCCGCTCCGCTCCTGCCGCCCCGGGTTTGTGCCGGCTGCCTTCAGGGCCGTGTCCACACGAGACTCCCTGCGCAGTTGCCTAGTAACACTGCGCAGCAGCGGGGTGGGGGGTAAAACCCACGCCAATACGGGTGGTGATCCGAGTAGTAATGTTAAAGCGCAGTGTCTGTGCCCTTGTCATGTGTCCGCTGCCAGGTGTCAGGCCGCACGCCTCCGGGGGGTGAAGGGTCAGGCTTGTGTCTAGTCGGTGCTTGAGGGTGGCTGGGTGAAGTGTTGGGGCCGAAGCTGCAAAGGGCGTTGTGGGCCCAGCGCTGCAAGTGCCCAACTCCTGAGCTGGTGGCTTCCGGGGTGGGATTCGCAGCCCCGAGGTGGGTGTGCCTGTTACTAGGGCGGTTTGCAGCGGTGAGTGCGGAGGAGAGGGGTGGGGAGTGCCTACACCCGCCAGCAGGAAACTCCGAACAGAAACGTGGCAGAAATCCTGCCCCTGCCATCCTGTTTAGGCGGCCACCCACTGCCTTGCTTTGTCCTACTTTTGTCTCCTTGAAACTCCCTCCTGCAGGTGGGTGCACAAGCTGACGGTCCTGCAGCTGACTGGCTGGCTCTTTTTTTTTTTTTTTTTTAAGAGTAAGGCAGGGAAGAAGTGCTGCCTGCTGGTTGGCTCATGCTTGTCTTTAAACAGTAACCGCATTAGGAAGCGGTGCCTTGTGGGTGGAGCATTTGCTGAAGATGTAAGAGCTTAGTTAAAATCTTCCTTCAAAGATGGTGTCTTAACAGCCAGGCTAGAGACCGTGCTTGGCTGTTCCTGTTGAATCTGTGCAACCAAATCAATTCAAAATTTTATTTGGATGAGAGGGGGTAACTAAGTAGGAGTATGGTTTTGGGACCCAGCAAGTGACTAGCTGCTGCGCTGAGAGCTTAACTGGGTATTGCTAGGGTGTTCTATAAACACCCCTTTTAGAGCCGGCCCATTGGAGGACTTGGGCGTGGTGGTGGTACCTGGTTTGTGAAGTCCAAAGGGACTGAGATCAGCACACAGAAGTTCAGCCAAGCTGGCAGTGCCTATGGGGACATGGAGTAATAAGATTTAAAGTGCTTAAATAGCATTTTTCTTGGGGAGGGGGGTGGGAATCTTGGATACCTAGGGACTCTTAGGTGTCTTGACAGGGTTTTTGTTGCACCCCAAGGTGACTAGGCACCCAAATACTTTTATTTTGATCTGCCTCCAAGTTGATTTTTTTTTGCTTAGTCAGATTTTCAGAGGGGCTTGGTCAGACCAGGAAGATTAGCCATTCTTGTCATGTGAGGTTTAGTAATTATGAAGTTGGGAAAAGAAAAACATAATCTATTTTCAAATGTGACCATCTCGAAACAGGAAAATAGGTTTCAGTTAAGAGCTCTACTCCCAGAAGTGCTGGGGTGGGTCAGACCTAGCCCAGCAGATGGTCCACCTACCCCTGTAGCCTGTCTGACAGTGGCAAGTAGTGATGCTTTACAGGGAGAGTTATATGAATAGAGCATGTCTAGAGTGATCATGCCTTCCCTGGCCAACAACCATTGGCTTAGGGATATCGGAGGATACAGTTCCTGATTGTTCTATTTAGTAGCTCACAATGGACCTTAAAGTTCACAAATTTGGCTAATCCCCCTTTTTTTTTTTAATGCAGTCAGCTATTTGTTATTTGTGTACAAATACTATATTATACACAAATACAAAATGGGTGACACCTGGCTGGAAGGCAATACTGTAGAAATGGATCTAGCTGTCTTGGTGGGTTACAGATTCCATGTTTAAGTCTGCAGTGTGACACAGCCACACGCAAGGTGAATGTAGTTTTGGTCTGTATCGGTAGGAGCATTGGCTGCAAGCCACAGGAGGTGATGGTACCTCTTTATTCAGTATTGGTTAAGCCTCATCTAGAATATTGTTTGCAGTTTTGAGCTCCACACTTTAAAAAGGATGTGGGGAAGTTAGAGAGGGTCTAGAGGTGGGTAACAAAAATAAAGGGTTTGGAAAGCAAACCATATGATGAGAAGTTGAAAGAAATAGGCATGTCCTATTTGTGAAAAAGTGTTTGAGAGAGAGGTTACAGATATCTGAAGGGCTGCCACAAAGAAGACAGTACTTTTTTCCATTGCTGCCCAGAGCAGGATGTGTACCAATAGCTTGAAGCTGCAGCAAGTCAGGTTTAGATTGGATGGAAAGAGAAACTTCTTCACTGTTTAAAGCAGTAAGGAATGGGAATAGATTACTTAGGAATGTTGTGAACTCCCCATCCTTGGAGACATTGGTCAGGGGTGATGGTTTTCAGACTTCCTCAAGTCAGGGACCCCTTTCAGATAGCTTCTGCTGCTGTGGAATCACTACTAAAGGCGGATGTGACCTGGTTTGGCAATAGCAACCACCACCTTCCAGCCTGCTCTGCCATTACCCCCAGTCTCTCCGTAGAGTCCCTGCTGAGCTATCCTAGAACCCCAGGGTCACGCAGTTTGAAAGCCACTGATGTTGGATTGACTGTGCCTAGATTGTTCTTTAAAGAGCAACAGTTAGAAGCCCAGGAGCTCTTCCACACCAGACTGCTAGGAGATAATTTGAAGAGCTCTGGAAGCCTAAAGCAGGTTGATATTGGAAAGGACCATGCTCAGCAGTAGGAGAATAAAGCAGAGCCCTGCAACTGGCTTGACTGTGAAAGATGATTAAAGGAACTGGGTTAAGTTTATGGACAGGGCAGAAAAATGGGAGCTCTGGCTGTTCAGTAATAGGGTGTGATGTATAGAGTTACGCTGGGGTGTACCAGTGTTCCTGCTGGGACTGAGGCCCAGAGATTCCTGGTTAGGGGGTGTTGTGCCTGTGCTGAGGGTCAGGTGGATCACCATATTTGGGACCAGGAAAGAATTTTCACTTCATGGTCAGATTGGTATTAACTGTACGGGATTTTGACTTCCTCTGTAGTGAAGGGCATGATCCTCTTCCTTGAATCTGAAGTACATTTTACCAGACCTTGCAGCAATAGGACACTAACTGCTGTTGTCCCCCTGCTTTGTGTGTGTGGCAGGTGAGTGCTCTTGGTGTCTTTGCACAATGTGCCTTGTAGTTGTGCAGCAGAGTTCATTGTGTAGTTAGACAAGGACTTATATGGCATTGTGAGGATAGAGGTAGTCCTGCCTTGAGCAGTGGGTTGGGCTAGTAGAGACTTTCTTTCTTTAAAAAAGGTGTGGAAGCAGCCAACCAGGTACTAGGATGTATATGAAACAGGCTGGAACATGATACAGAAAAAAGTATTCTTTTACATACAAGCCATGTACAGCACTATAAAAGGGTATGGTGAAAGTAAGTGGGTGCAGAGAAGGTTACAACATCTATAAAAGGGTATAACAAAAATAAGTGGGTGTAGAGAAGGGGATGAGAAAGATAAAGGGCATGCAGACATGCTTGCATAAAGAAACCTTTGAAAGTGCCTTGTCTTAGAAGGGAGATGAATAGTAGGCAATATGATAGAGTATCTATTTAATGAAGAGTGTAGAGCAGCTTAATCAGGAGCTTGTATTTACAAGAGCAAAGGTATGTGTTAAATAAAATTGAAAGTATCACATTTAAAACTGATGAAAGAAAATACTTAATCTTGATCAGTTTGGGGTTAGACTGTGGATTAGCTGTACCAGCATGCTAAAGAAATAGCGAATTTGATGAGATCCAGAAAATAGATGATTATATATGAACAGTAATACCCCAAATTGTGATAACTTAATGCTAAAAGAAGGCCTATTCTTGGATGGGCTGCTTGCACTTCAGGACTTAAGTCAATCTTTCTTCACAGTTGGAGGAAATGCTTGTTGGAACTGGATTATTCTTTATATGCTATTGTCAGGTTTCTTATCCTCCTTTTGAGATAAGACACTAAGGCTAGAGACAGATATTGCACATAAACCAGTGTAAGTGATTAGAAACTGGCTTAAACCTGTAATAGAACATAAGTTCAGTGTGCACAAACTAATTTCAGCCATTTTGAAACTGGTTTAAGATAAACCTGGTTGAATGCAGTATCAGGTTTATTTGGGTGAAACCAGTTTATGCAATGTCTGTCCCAGACCCCTTTCTGGTTTAAGTTAAACCAAAGCCCCCCCAGTATCCCAGATGCTTTGCAGCCTTGGGCTGGGCTGCCTGTTCCAGAGAACAGGGCAGGCCCCACCCCTCTGCTCCCTAGCCAGAGCTGTGGTGGAGACTGCAGGCACAGCAGGGTCCGCCTGGCTTCCCCCAGCCCCACTCTCACCTTGCTACTCACTGCTCAAGCAGAGATCATCTCCCTCCCTCCCATCTCCCACAGCATGGACCCTAGGTGGCATGTGGTATTCTAGCTAATGCTGTGAGGTGTTTGTGTATGTGTGTGCGTCTCCAATCCCACTGGGATGGGACAAAGGCAGACAGGACAGTGTCCCCTTAGGGGAGCTAATCAGCAGGTCAGCTGGTAATATCCATCCAGTTTCTTCCTTGGAAAAAACTGTTTAAGAGGAACTTGAACTAATGAAAAAGACTTGTTGTTTTGATAGGCTGCTAAACACTGTGTTATCAGTTCCCTGCTGGCTCCCTCACCTGTCAAGTTTGCTGTAGACAGTATGAAGAAACAGGGAGAGGGAGATTGAAAAGCTCAGTACCATGAACAGATGTATGCACTGTACATCCTCATTTTGTCTCAGTACTAGTAGGGGGCTGACAACACTCCTGCCCCTTAAGCAGCGAGCTGGGATAAGACTGGCACGGTTCAGGCAAGATGGGGGGTTTACACCCTTCCCTAATCGGAGCATCCTGCTGGGGCCTGGCCATGCCTCTTCCCCCCGCCCCAGCTCGGCACTAGGGGCGGGAAAGGAAGACTGCTTTAGAGATGATAAAATCACACACTCTAATTTCTGTCCCCCTGCTCTCTCTTTCCTGGAATTTTTTTGAATAATTGTGTTGTGCTTTGAACATTTTTCCTTTTTTGTGACATTTTAAAAATGCTTTTATAAGTCAGTAAATTTGATTAAATATTGAAATTGTTTCATGTCTTTACTTTGATTTAACTGAACTCATACTTCTGTGTGGCCTTTTTCATACAGATTTAAATCTGGATTGTTGCTGATTAATTGAGTTCTCAGGTACAACCTAATCCATACAAAATCTTGTCTTTGTAGATACAGCAATACAACGTTCTGTGAACCAGGCCACTTTTCTAGTCTTCATGAAACAAAATTTGTCCTTGGTTATTAATGTGTATTAATAAGGAAAGGGCTGGGAGGGGGTTCTCCACAGTTAAAACATGCCAGCCAACCATCCGAAAAAATTGCTTTGGGATTCTAGTATTCCAGTATTCTGATAATTCTTAAATAGTCTTGATTGGAAACATTAAGGGCCTGTCTCTCTTTTTTTGCTTACTGACAAATACTTTCTTTTCCCCCTCCTTTACAGGTTTTGGCAGCAGAAAGGAATCTAATGTTTCAAACTATAAATATTTACAATTTCTTCTTGTGACCAACAAATCTCAACATGGAGACGTAAGCTCCTTAGAAGGGACTTCAGTCTGAACTCTGGGAGGTAGTTTTGTGCACAAATAAAGAAACTAAGAAGCTAACAGTGCCTATATTGACCAGCAAGGATTCTGTTTGCTTTATAAACATGGCTTACAGGACCAATGAAGTTAATATACACAAGATATTGGAATATTACAACAAAAAGCCATCTAGCTATATTAAACACCATAATGATACAATTGTGACCGAACAACCTGGCTAAAATTATGTTGCCTAACTGTACTGAGCATGTTATGAAAGCAAAAGCTTTGGAGTTATTCCAAACCAGTTGTTCAGGGCAAGATATTCTTGTCATTAATGGTATGCAGGGACCATTCTTACTATAACTACATCTTTTGTTTTACATAAGGTAGATATAAACTTAGATTTATTTTGTTTATGGTGTCTTGCATATTTTGGATGAAAACTGCTGTAAAAAGCATGGGTTGTCTTGTTTGGCAGCCTAATGATGTGAAAATATACATTGGGTTGTCTAGGAGCCCTCCTATTTGTGCCTATGAACAAAATAAACTTGTTTTAAATTTTTCAACTAAAATTTCAGGATAGTTGTGACACCTTAGCAAATAATAACCTTTAAAATGTATGAAAACTTCATTTTAATTAGATACATAGCAATATCTTTTAAACAATGGCTGATTCTTTTTTAACATCAGAGCTTTATTTCAAGATACAGGTGTATCCCTTTTAGTTTCTTTATTAGTAGGAGGTTTTGATCAACTTCCTCTTCTTCCCCAGCTGGTGGGTATTCCTTTTCTTACAGACATACAGGTTTCCCTCACTTTATGCTGTACATCTGTTCCTGGAAAATGACTCATAATTCAAATGCGCATAAAGGGAACCGACTTTACAATGTAACAAATAGGGATATGGTCCAATACCTTGTCTGTTCTGATCCCTATACCCATTGCTACCACTTTTACAAGACAGTTTTGGTACTCACCAACAGCAGACACTACGCACAAGCACAGGGCACTACCATAAGGCAACTACAGAAACACGTGTTGCAGACTATGAACAAGGAGCACAGATCCACACGGGAGACTATATTTTGGTGTGTGTCACTCCCACAATGCACCGCACAAAGCAGCCTGACTGCAGGCTTCTACCACACCAATTGCATAAGAGTGAATTTACCTTGCATATAATGAATCTTTGGTATAAAAGGGTTATCAAATAAGAGTGAATTCACACATGCAGAACCTGCCTAAAGGGAGGGAAACCTGTAAATGGTAAGGAAAATGTCTGATACATTATGTAAGGACTATCTGTACATGCCAGACGGAGGATATAAACTTTACCTGCTAAGTAATTTTGCAGCAGGCCTCTTCAAGCATTTCAAACTTTTTAATGTATAACTAACTTTATTTACATGTGTATTCCAAGTTATAAACCAAAGTGTTTCACCTCCAGGTCCTTACTGTAATATGGCTCAGGGGTTATTCAAAATCGCCTACAATGCACAAAACTACCTCCCAGAGAAAGACTTGTCCCATTCTTCCACAAGAAAAAAAAAAGTTCAACATGAACATAATGGAAAATAGCCCGTTCCTGGCTAACATGATGAAATACAGTGCTTTGTGTGAACTGAAGTATGACTTGTCATGTGAACTCTACAGAATGTCTACATTTTCTACTTTCCCCACCGATGTGCCAGTGTCTGAAAGGAATCTTGCTCGGGCTGGGTTTTATTACACTGGTGTTAAAGATAAAGTTAAATGCTTCAGTTGTGGCTTGATGTTGGATAACTGGAAAAAAGGAGATAATGCAATGGAAAAACACAAACAGCTCTATCCTAGCTGCAGCTTCATTCAGGGATTGCTTTTATTAAACAACCTTGGATCATCCTCTCATTCTGCCTTTTCACCTCCGGCCACAACGAGCAGCCTGTCGCCACCTTTACATTCCATAACCCTGGCTCCAAGTTCAGATGAAATTGGTTACTTCAATTGCTCTTTTTCTAGTGTTCCTCAAGTCCCAATAACTTCTAGAGCAGTTGAAGACGCATCATTTTTGAGACCCAGGTTTTATAATCCTACAATGAGCACAGAAGACGCCAGACTGCGCACTTTTCAGATGTGGCCTCTGACTTTTCTGTCACCAACGGACCTAGCAAAAGCTGGTTTTTACTACACAGGGCCAGCAGACAAAGTTGCTTGCTTTACCTGTGGTGGGCAACTGAGTAACTGGGAACCAAAGGATAATGCCATGTCAGAGCATCAAAGACACTTTCCTAACTGCCCTTTTGTGGAAAATCAAACTCGAGATCAAACAGGTTTCTGCGTTTCTAACCTGGAGATGCAAACCCATGAGGCACGTGTTAACACTTTTATAAACTGGCCAACTAGAATTCCCGTTCGACCTGAACAGCTTGCAAAGGCTGGCTTTTATTACGTAGGTAAGAAAAGGTGTTTAGTTTGGTTTGACATATTTCATGATTTGTGTGCGCTTTTGCAATAATTTGCACAATTATTGTTGCATGACACTTAACTGTTATGATTTTAAAGGTCGCAATGATGATGTCAAGTGCTTCTGCTGTGATGGTGGATTGAGGTGCTGGGAGTCTGGAGATGATCCCTGGATTGAGCATGCCAAGTGGTTTCCAAAGTAAGTAAACTTTACCACAATTTCTTACCAGATAAATTAGAATAAGTTGATCCTGTATAATTTTGATATATATGTACCTTAATGTTCTATGATTCATATATATGATTTGTGATTTATTTTTAATTGCTTAGCTTTTCATTGTTTTCAGGCCTCTAAAATAATGAAAAAGTGAACTTGTCTGTAGTTTATCTATGCTGCTGACCCTGTAACCAGGTGCTCATTTTCTCTAATGAGACTGATATGTAACCAGGTGTTTATTGACATACAGCTGGTATTTTGATCAAAATAAGTGTTACCCAAATTTTATAAGCCATTGTGTATATACCCTTTTTTTGGTATGGTATCAGTTATTGAACACTTTTTTGGTATGAATAAAATCATATTTGTATCTTGTTCAGAAACTTGGCCATATCACAGCCCCAATTCAGAAAAGTAATCCTTGTCAGTAAAGAGTTATAAGTGCAAAGATGAAGTTCTGTTGAAAATGTATTTGGACATGGGCTTCAGTAATTCCTACTTCATGGAAGCAATTTGGGCTTTATGTTTTTTCAGCAAAGCTCTTAGCTAATCTTATGGGGAAAATAGAAATTGTAACTTGACATATCTCATTGATGTTTCAGATGCGAGTACCTGCTGCGTGTTAAAGGCATTGAGTTTGTTAGTCAAATTCAGGCAAGGTTTCCCCATCTTCTTGAACAGGTAAAAATTAAAATGTAGGTTTCTGGGTGTTACTGTCGATTATTAAAGGGGCCTAATTTATATGTATATTTTCCCTTGCTGCGTTTTTAGATAATGTTCTAATAGGCTTCTGATACGAGTGTTAAGCTTGTGCCAGGAAAAATAACATTACCAACAATGAATGGAATCGATGTTGATTTCATGGTCTCTTCTCCACAATTGGCTCGTTACAAAACTACTTAGAGAAGCTGCATTTTGAGAACTGATATCAAAAATGGCATGTGGGTATTGGAATTAAATGTTGCCCGAAGACCAAATTATGTAGTCACCATCTACAATCAAGACATTCTGATACTTAGTATGGGGGGGGTGGGTCTCATGGTCTCAGAGTCCCAGTGTCATGAAGAGAAGCCCTGATTATGCCAGGCTTCATGACTAATTTAAATCAGTAACTCTTGCAGTTTAGAAATCAGTGTTGCATAGTTTGGGATTTATTTTTAATTAAACTTTTCAAAACCATGTCTCTTTAGCAAAGGGGCGGGGTGTAGCAGATTTTTTTTTTTTTTTTTTAGTACGGAAAGCTTGTTTTACTAGAAATGTCCAGCGTTTACCGCATCTTCAGTGCCCACCACATTAGGCGTCTTAATGCTCACGTAACTGCCTGTACAACTATTTTGCAAACATTTTGAGTTAAAACTTCAAACTGATTTACTAAACCAGGATCTTAATATTGGCACTTCAATATTTTGAGGAATAGAATGCATTAGAATGGTCAGTGCTGTATGAAAAGAGAGAGGCTCTTGGATACTGATGGTATTGCTTTGTTTTTTTTCTATAGCTCTTGTCAACATCTGATACTCCTGTAGATGAAAATGCAGATCCATCAAGTATGTATATTTTTGCCATGGTCTTGTGACTTTTAGCGCGTGCAAACTTCAGTAGAATTATAAGCATAATGTAAATATATATTCTCAATAAGATTAGCTTGCAAAGCAATTTCCAACACTTTTAGGAAGCTATTGCATTTTGCATCTTTCCCTGCAGATCATAGTATTCCATTTCCACCTCCCCTTAATTATCATCAAGGTGTTGTGTCCATGAAATATAATATTTCTTTGAGGCTCATTGCAAGACATGTCTTGAATCTTGGCTGTTTTTCCCAATCCTGAAGATTTTAATGAAAATGATATTTTAGAGTTGGCCTCTGCCTGTTCTATAGTAGGCTTGAGTAATCCAGCACATAAAGCATTCTAGTAGCTTTCTCTAACAAGATTTATTACTAAACGAATTGCCTGCAATTAGGCCAGGGCTCTCAGGAATGGGTACTAGCCAAGATAGGGCAAGCCCAGTGGAGCACAGTAGGCATTTTCTGGCTATAAATCTGTCCTTCCTGAGTGGAATCTCCAGATAGAGTAGGAATGCACTTCTACTGGGGTGCATATCCTGTAGCAAGATGCTCAAGTGCTTCATTTATCTTGGCAGGTGTCAGGTAGGTTGATCAATAGTAGAGCTGGAATCTACCATTAATTTCCTAGCTGGGTAATTTTATCTTGAGAGAAGTTATATCAAAAGGGGAAATTTTACAAGACTTGACTTAAATTAATAGAATTGAAATTTGGTAGGGCATGGGAAATGTTGTTCTTAAACTGAATCTTTTTGTTGAAAAGAAGCTCTTAATCTAAGTTAATAAAATCTAACCACGTTCTAAATAGATTTTTTTAATGAAGCTTGCTTTTTATTAACTGACTGACTTCTTATACTAATCTAATTTTATATAGAGAGGATGAAAGCTTAAAAATACACAAAACTTCAAACCACCTAACGATGTGTGTGTGTGTTTTTGGGTTTTTTCCCCTCTTTTGAATAGTTATTCATTTTGAACCTGGAGAAAGCCGGTCCGAAGATGCAATCATGATGAACACCCCTGTAATTAAAGCTGCTTTGGAGATGGGGTTTAGCAGAAGATTAATAAAGCAGACAGTTCAGAGTAAAATCTTAGCCACTGGAGAAAATTATAAGACAGTTAACGATCTTGTGTCTGATCTGCTTACTGCTGAAGATGAAAAGAGGGAAGAAGAGAGGGAGAGGCAGTCTGAGGAAGTGGCTTCAGGTATGCAAAGGGAACAAATCTACCTGGCAATTTCTTGTTGAAACCAAACTCCTTTCTTAACTCCTCCTCCCCGTATTCTCAGATACGCTACAACGTGAAGGGTGGCTGACAGTAAACTAGATACATAATTTAAAAAGTTAGATGTACTTCAATTTACAGTAAAAGCTTTGTTATCTGGCATGAGTGGGGCAAGAGGGGTGCCAGTTATTTGAGAGTTATATGGAAGACAGTGCCATACTTGATGTGCATGCCAGATAGATTTGGCAAAGATTCCAATTGCTAAAGAGAGGATTTGTACTGGGGGATATTGGAAATTCCAGTTAATAAAGTGCCAGTTCTTCTAATTATGGGTGGTAAAAGTGAAATGAAGATTTTGCAAGATCTTCTAAAATTATGATGAAGCATATCCATTACTGTTAACAAATAGCGCTGCAATATGATTTTTTTTTTTTTTTTTTAATCTGAATGCTTTTTCTTTCTGCCTCACCCTTCTTGAATTCAAGATGATTTGTCGCTAATCAGGAAGAATCGAATGGCTTTGTTTCAGCGTTTGACCTGTGTGTTTCCAATCCTGGAGAGTTTACTGTCAGCTAAAGTTATAACTGAACTTGAACATGATGTTATTAAACAAAAAACCCAAACGCTATTGCAAGCAAGGGAAGTGATTGATACAATTTTAGTGAAAGGAAATTCAGCAGCCAACATATTCAGAAACTGCCTACGAGAGTGTGACCCCATATTGTACAAAGACTTATTTGGTGAGTTTTCTGAAAATAGTATGTATTAGGGGAAAAATATGGACAAAATATTTCTTGTGTGTGTAGAGATATATTTAAAGTGCAGTAACTTTTTAAAAGTTGGAATATAGATTATTCTAGTAACACGCATACTTTTTTTTTTAGTGGAAAAAAGCATGAAGTATGTCCCCATAGAAGACATTTCAGGTAATTCCTTTTAATTTTATTTTTAAAGGTGATCATAGAAAATTAGGATTGGAAGGAGGGGCTTCAGAAGGTCATCTAGTCCCATACCCATGCTAGGGACCTCAGGCGGTCATGTAGTCCAATGCCTGCAGTGATATAGGATAGTAACTGATTTGTCAGCAATATTTTCTCTTTTAGAATACCTGTTACTTATATTCTTTTTAACCCAAAATTAGAGATTGGATGTGTGCATTAATTTGAAGTCAGTTTTAATATATATGTTTTGGTTGATTAACTTCTTCCCATGTGCCCCCAAATACTGAGTATATGACTGACTGCTATCAGTTTGAGGATTGTTCCAGACCAGTTTTCTTCTAAAATGCAAAAAGTTAAAGCACAGTGCACCTTAGGCAGGTTCAAAAACTATATCGTGGGTACATCTACACATGCTCCTGACTGCGCAGTCATTAGTGCACAGTAGCTGCCGTTATTATGACTAAATGCGCAGTAACTACCGTTACTGCACAGTCCCAGCAGCACACAGGTCATTCCTGACCCTACACAGTAGCATTGGCATCACGGTTTGTGCCTGATGATGCTACGTTACCATAGCAACATGCTAAGTTGCTGTAGCTCATCACTACAGCAACTTAGCATCTAATGTCTCTTCTCCCAACTACAATTTATGCTTCCACCAGTAGGGTTTCTCTTGCCTCCTCTCTTCCTGGTTTGTAGATACAGACACTGACAGAAGTACATTTTCTAGTAAATGCAAAAAAAGGAAAAATCAGGAAGATGGAGGGGGAGGCGTGAGTGGAGGAAGCCAAACTGGATTATGCAACTTCCACATTTCTAATCATAATGCAGAAGAGATCATGTAAAGAGAGAAAAAACGAAGCTAAGTGAAATCTTTTTCTGTGTAGGTTTACCCATGGAAGAGCAGCTGAGGAGGCTACAGGAGGAAAGAACCTGTAAAGTGTGCATGGACAAAGAAGTTTCAATTGTATTTATTCCATGTGGTCATTTAGTGGTGTGCAAAGAATGTGCACCTTCCCTTCGAAAATGCCCTATTTGCAGGGGGACGATCAAGGGTACAGTTCGTACGTTCCTTTCATGAGGAGGGAAACCTGTGCAAGGTTTGCTCATGTTCCCGTGGGATCCTTGCATTGCTCAAGACTAAGCCAATGGTGTCTTAAGAATGGAAATTCTGGTAAATTGCTTACTTCATATGTACTGTTGGGCAATAATGGACTGTTGTCATTGTACTCATTTTAGACCTTATTCTGCCAAATAGTAATGAAGAGCTTGTTTTTCCATTGTTTTTGGAGAGATTTACACAAGCTGTTGAATTCTCTTGTTGAAGTAACTTTTTTTTCTCCCAGAAGGTTAAGTAAAGGAGAGAGTCCTTTCATAAGCATAACCTCACTCTGATCTGGAGAGAGGTTCTTTACTGATCAAGCACATTGTTTTGATAGACTTGATTTTTAAAACCAAATCTTGTGCAACTGAATCGAGTAGTGAACTTGACAGTTGATGAATGGAGCCATTAGCACTTTCAGTGTTGTTTCAGTTGCTGTTCTGATTTTCATTTTGATTTATTTATTTTTTGTTAACAACAAAGATTAAAATAAAACTGTAAATAAAAGATCCAAGTTCCACTCTTTTTGTATCTGGATATCTTAAGTATAATTAACAATTAAATACAAGATATGTTCATTTCCCAATAATTCTCCGCCCCAATAATAACGCTTATAGCCAAGTAGCAGCTACCAACCCATAAATTGAGTGCTGGTGTTAAAGAGGAATTCTAGTATAGGAATCACCATCATGATCTTAAGAACTGGAAATAAAAGTACTGGTAACTGGCTGTATAAGGACTTTGATTTTTAGATGGTATCTACTCCAGCCAGCACAAGAGCTGTGTTGGAACATAATAGTCTCCTTTCATAGCGCTTGGTCTCTATTTATTTGGCACTCTTTCTCACTCTGTTAGCTTTTTTTCAGTTTTAATGCCTGTGAGCCAGAGCTCTTATTCAAGGACATGCAGCAGCAATCTCTGGACCTGCCAGTCATGCTGTTAAAATGTTTTTTTTATTGCAGAACTCCTAGCTGCTAAACAAATTGTGCATAGGAAATGTATTTGATCTTACTGTCAGCTCTATCCAGTAAGGTGTTACAACTCTTGACTTCTAGGAGCATGCCACATCTAAGCTTTCTAGGCATGGAGAGAGTTAGGTGCCTCCCATGGGAATTTTTCATTGCACTTCTGAGTGGAGAGCTGCATAGTGCTTTCCAGTAGGCAGTTCTAAATGCAGGAGCATCTCCGTACCCATGCCCTTAACATATGATTCTGAAACTGGGGCTGTAAGCAGGGGCTTACATATCCAGAGCCTGGCTCCTTCCCCGAGAGTGGGTGCCTAAAATCATCCTTTCAAAGAGCTAAGTAAGATTTTCTTTTCTGATGTGACTGGAGCAGGAGGTGAAATAAGAGGTTGCTACCACTTCCATAATTACTTTGGTGAGAAGATTTCCTAAATAAATGGGTTAATTTTATTTCATAACCGGAAAAATCCACGCCTGCCAGAAGAGTGCTCTTTCTGCCAGACTACAGGCCAAACTGGAGAGGAGCACTCTATCCCTCCTATTGAAGCTACGTGACTAGAACAAAATACAAGCTTTGGAGGATCAGAAAGACCAGAGGGAACTGTACGAATTAGGAAATTTATTGTAATTATGCAATAGGTGATGGATGTTTTATTATACTGGATACAAACGTGACAGCCTTCCACAGCTCTGTGGTTTAAGGAGACGGGGACAGACCATTAAAATGCTGATGGGGTCAGGATGGAAGAGTCAAAGATATTTAGACTAAGGGTGTCAACTCCCCATTTCCCTACCCTCTACTGCCAGGCAACCTTCCTGGGCTGGATCTGGACCCACCTCCAATGGTGGGGCAAGCAGCACTGTGTTGGTTCAGGAAGTTGCAGAGATTAACACAGGTATTGCTCACACCTTGCTACCAAAATGCATCCACAGTAGGGCTTTCTAGCCCAGATTTTGGCAGCAGACTCAGCCACCAAAGTCCTGGCACCTCCTGATTGAATGAAACCGCTCCACAAGCCATAACTTTGACGCCCTTGATTTAAGTAAAGGATTGTAAATCTGTTTAATGTAGGAGGAAAGTTGGCAGATACTGCCAAGAAGATTGGCGTGTCAGCTTCATGGGTCCAGTATGCTTGAGAATGAACTAGGGCATTGGTGCTCAAACTTTTGGCCCTGGAGGCCAGCTCAGTCCTACAGGTCCTGTTTGTAGGCTGGATTGAGCCCTGCATGCTAACATTATTCTGGGGCCTGGCATTTCCCCACTCCCACCCACTGCATGTGGGATTTGGGCCCTCCTGCCCCTATGTGCTCGGTTGGGTCCTGGCATCTGGCACCACCCTGCATCCAGCTGTGAGCACTGGGATTGGTCACCCAATTCCGAGTGCAGGGTCCAGGGCTCCCCACAGGTCTAGAAATTTGGCAGCAGGAGGGCAGTGTCACCACTCCCCTGCCATCAGACTTCCAGACCTGTGGGGATCCCTGCAGGCCATGTGATATGACATCATGGGCTGGATCTAGCCCCAAGGCTGGGGGTTGAACACCCTTGGAATAAAGGAAAACAAGGAATGTAGAAAAAACTTTTATGGTTGGGGAACAGTAAGATGAGTATGTATGGAAGTTTGGGGCTAGATTTGATCCATTTCTGGGACTCCGAAGAAAATGATGTGATGAGACATGGAGTGAAAGAGGTGTGTTCTTTGCTAGTGTGAGCTAATCAGCTGGGGCAACCAGTGTGGAACAGCTAGAATCTCCCTTGCTGTATCCCAGTTGCAAGTACTTTGATTAAATGCTTGTAACTAACTTGTGCAGGGGCCATCATTAATAAATAGTTTAATATTTGTTTAGTATATTAAAACGGTCACTTAAAGTAATTGTATAAACTGCTATTGGCCTTTAGAGTTGATGCAAAAAAAACTTGGGTGAGTCATTAATATGGTCAATCAAATTCCAACTAGAGCCTGATAGTTAGAGGTTAGGGCACTGTCTATAGGTTGTGGTTCTTCCTCCTAGAACAATTTTATGCATTTTACACTTAAACAAGCATTGGACTGCTTTGGGGTTTGGGGTTTTTTTTTTTAATGCAGTCTATACAGTGCCAGAGCTTCAGTGGGAGAAATGGAGAGTACCCTCACCCAGAAGAGTGTTTCCAAGTTCTGATCCTCAAGGGAAACTTACACAGCACTTCCCAGAGACGACCCTATGAGCTCCATTTCATCAACCTGCTGGATACTAGAGATCATGGACTAAACATAGACATTGGATTTTTGATACATTATAATCTGCAACTGACGCCCAGCCCAGCCCAGCCCCTGGCTTCTTTACTTTTCATTCCATCCAGGAAGAGCACACACCAACTGCTGAAGCTTCCTTAGCCTGACGAAAGGTTTTTGAACTCGAAAGCTTGCTTAATAACTATTCTCCAACTATTTGGGTTGGTCTAATAAAAGATATCAAATTCACCCAAGGAACCTTGTCTGTCCAAGTGATTAGAGCACTCTTGAGTGGTTGGACATGTGCCTTTGAATCGTCTTGGACAAGGAAGGCAATCTAATCTAGGTATTCCACTTCCTGGGCTCTAACCACTAGGCAAAGAGATGGCTGGGAGGGCTGGTGCTAACCAGTTAAAAATAAAGCAGCTACTACAGCATTTTGTGAGGGGGCTTAATCCTGTTAGTGTGTGGCAGGAGTTTTTAACTAAGCATGCGTACCAGATTTGGTCTTTCTGAGGACTTTGGTGCTGCTTTTTCTGTTTTCTCAATCCCAATGGCTTGTGCCGGGGGTGGGGGCTGAGGGGTGCACAGGGAGGCAGATGATGGCTTGTGCCGGGGGGGGGGGCTGAGGGGGGCACAGGGAGGCAGAAGTGCTCTGACTACAAGTGCATGTTTGCAAAACAGACCTGAAGGTGACTGGAGAACTTCCAAGTTGAAAGGTACCGAGCAAGTTTGGGCATCTCCACATTTAGATGGCAGCTGAATGGGGATTTTTGAATCACAGTTTTGGATTGAGCCCTTCCCAGTCTACCTCAACTCTGCTCTACATGCCTATGGGCAGGGAGTTTTGGACCTGAACTGTTGTTTGTTTGTTTTTTAAAGCTGTAGAAAAAGAGTTGGACAAGCTTTTCCTGGAGTATGTGCAGTACTTCTGGATGCTATGAAATCCTTTTAATTAGTCATTTGGAAAACCCATCACTATTGTCTTATTTGTCAGTTCTGAATCACTTTGAGAATCCTACTGACTTATATGTGAAACATGCTGGTTAATTAATTATCCATTAAAGTACAATTACTCATTTCCTAATGCACATCTACAGAATTGAAGTGGAACTTGTTCCTGTTAGTCAGCCTAAGAGATACTGGCCTATGCCATCCCTAGCACTGGACAAGTCAGCTGCCACTGAGAAAGCATTGGACCATATTCAACTTTTCTTGGCTCAGTAAGATGGATGATACTATTAGGATTTTCGTAATTATGCCCTCTTTGCCAAAACAGAATATATAAGAGTACAAAGCAAAAATCTTTGACTAATTAGTTTTACATTGTATTATTCCATCCTAGCCATGTAATTCTTATGTTGTAAGCACTCTGAATTTTTGCAATAAGAAATTGTACATTAAACATTTATCTGCATAATCATACCATTTTTTATAGCAAGCCAGAGCATGTGCAATTTGCATTTGCAATTTACATTCTTTTTCTTTAAGGTAATGTCAAAAATAATTCTTTGTAAGATGTGTAAAAAGTTGAAAATAGCTAACTACTTACAATTTGTAACTCCTAGATAACGATACCCAATCTCTTGGAGTGATGTAGTATCAGATTTACTTTACTGAGGTGTTCAGTGGTCCAGGGCCAGTTATTAGTACATGTATGACATGCTGGGTGCTTTAGACTACAGAATAACCTCATAAATCCAGTTTTCAAAATTCTGGAATTCTCAAAAATACGGCATTTTTTAAAATACACTACATCAGGGGTTTTCTACCTTTTTTTTTTTGACCAGTGTACCCCCAGCAGCTGGTCAGAGCAGGGGTGGGTCCTGCTTACTCTGAGCTGAAATAAATTTCTGGGCCATAAATTCCAGTCCCCCATTATTGCAAGTAAGCACATCATATAATGCCTTCCCAGGCCTTGGAACTGAGTGTAAGAACGGCTAAATACTAAAAGGAATTAAACTTTGCTGTGCCTTACATCTTCTTTATGCAGTGTTTGGATGACACAGAAAGATCCAAAAACCATTATTTAGGTTATGCTTAGAATATGGTTTTAAACCTGATTTATTTATTTGGACACCTTCATCCCTTGTAGTTAGTTAACTAGTTCTATGACTGTTTGGCTGCAACTGAGATTAAGCTACAATTAAGCAAATGGTTGCTAAACATGGTCAAA